GCTGAACATAATTGCTTGCATGATAAACCTTTGAAGACACTCCTTCCTCACAATATCAAATTTCAGCATGTTTCTTCTCCATGTTCTGAGCCCGTTGTTTACAGAAGCTTGATAGGATCCTTAACTTTCACACTCATATTCGTTGTGACATTTCCTATTCAATTTAGATTTTGAGCCAGTTTATGCAAATTCCTGAGGTTTCTCATATGCAAGGTATTATTCACCTTGTTCATTACTCCTTGGTACAGTGGACCAAGGCTTTCTTATGAAAGGATCTGATCAGCTTTCTCTACATGTGTATTTTTATTCTGATTGGGTTTCATGTCCTTTTTCATAAGATCGGTTACTGGATACATTATTCTTCTTGGAGGTTCTCCCATCTCTTGGAAATCTAAGAAGCAAAGGATAGTGTCTAAATCTTCTTCCGAGGCAGAATATAGAGCCATGTCTTGGGCTGCTTCAGAAATCACTTAGTTGGCACGCTTGCACCAAGAACTTTAGCTTCCATATTTAAAGCCTAACACTCTTCACTGTGGAAACCAATTAGCTTTGCACATCTATAGGAATCCAGTGTTTCATGAAAGAACTAAGCACTTTGACATTGATTGTCATTTCACTAGGGAGAAAGTTCTTGCAGGTATTATTCATCTTTCTTATTTGCCCACCGCCAACCAGCTTGCAAACGTGCTTACCAAGATTCTTCCTGTTAATCAGTTCCAATGACTTTGGCCAAGCTAGGTATGGTCACTCCACCACCCAGCTTGAGACGCAAGTTTGAATGCTTCAATGAAATATACTATTCTTCTTTCTGAGTGCTTAAACAAATTTTATTAACTGGAGACCAATCAATCCATGCATCCGGAATTAGAATAGTATTCATACCTACCAAATTCTGAACTTGAGTAGAATGGTGTTTGGATATAAACACAGATAGAAAAAGTCGTATCAATTCTTTTTCTATGAATAATGACTCTACGTGATGGTAAGGATAAAAGGTCAAATTAAGAGCTTATCTTATTTGTGAAATATGGAGGTTCTTCTGAAAATAAAAAATATTGACTTTTTTAGTTAATCTATTATACTTGAGGTATTAATAATCATATAACTAAACTAACGGAGTATTTAACAATATTGCGGAAGCGAATTTAATATTAACATATCATAAATCATATATATATATATATATATATATATATATATATATATATATATATATATATATATATATATATATATATGATTATTAATACCTCAAGTATAATAGATTAACTAAAAAAGTCAATATTTTTTTATATATATTAATATTAGTATGATTATTAATATATATATATATATATATATATATATATATATATATATATATATAAAAGTAAATTTTCAATGTTTTACTTTTAGTTTAGTTTTTTCCCAAATTGAACAGAAGAATTTATGTAAAAGTTATATTTTAATGTTACATTATGAGACTAGTTTTAGTCAGGTCTCGATTCAGTCTTTTTACAAAAAAAACCAGTGGTCCACGAGTAGTCTAGTCTTTCTGTAACACTCTAATTCGTTCAGGTCTGCAGCCCCATTCAGACTAAAGTATTTAACTTGGTAATCGTAAAATTTAAAACTTTTCAAACACACTTTATTAATCTCAATAATATTTTTCATAACATATACAGTACAGAGTATTTAACAATATTGCGGAAGCGAATTTAATATTAACATATCATAAATCATTTCAAAACTTGTCACATCCATCCCGACAATCTCGCCCCATCTGCCGCCAAAATCACATTAATCTTTCTGTTTACCTGCGTGTAGCAAATAAAACACACTACACGCTTAGCGGTGAAGCTGAGTAAGCATATCTAAAGCATCGAACATCCACATAAATTGAATCTCAATTCATAATCAACAATTTGATATCATGCACACAATATATAGTTCAAATATTCATAATATTTTCAATATTTTATTCCAAGTCATTTGATATTCAATATATCAATAATGTTCTTAAATTATTCTTAATCTAAGGCCACATCATTTTATATTGGGCTCTTAGCTATTCCTAGTCTAAGGCAGTAATTCTAACCAGACCCTTAAACTATAAATAGTTTAATGCAGAACACAAGAATCGATAATTCACCCTATGAGTCATGTGGATTACGTACCAACCGAACAGTGATTTGTCGGGTGGGTGATATCCGTTCTGGATCCCGTACGTACGTTTTAACCCCGAATTACGAATTGGTCAAGGGGGTATATCTTAGAGTTCTTCTAGATATCCTTAATAATCATCATCAATATACAAGTGGGTATATCTTAGAGTTCTTCTAGATATCCTTAACAATATACACCGTTTTCATGATCACCATTATATTCATTTTTAATCATGATTTAATCATCAATAATCATTCTCATCAGTAGGTTTATCATTCATAATTGGCCACAATAATAATTCATCATAATGATCATTTAACATAACATTTGATAACAAATAGCGGCCTAGTCTCGAGTGTTAACACCCGAACTTACTGTCATGCATCACACAAGATTTTATGTGTCAAAAACATCATTGTTATTGTACAAAATCATTTTTATAATAATCATAATCAATTGGTATCGAAAATAGGATTCCATAGTTCAAAAATCATGTTTTCTAAACAATAATTGAATAATATATGATAGGAAATTCAATTATTAACTATTAGTTTCGTTTTCTTCAATAGTGTAGAGAGACAGTCTACTGTCACTTCCGATAATCTACTGTCTGATGTTCAGAATGGGCTGATAATCGATTATCACACTCTGATAATCGATTGTCAAACTTCAGAGAGGGCTGACAGTCGATTGTCACATTCTGACAGTCGACTGTTGCTCAGCTAAGTTCCAAAAATCTACAGAATGATGAATAATCGATTTTCAAGTTGATTGAATTTATCCATCGTCTTCTAGCTCGAGCCAACTTGCAGAAATGTCACTTTTACTTACCAAACTTCAATTAAAGTATATAAAAATGTTCTCCAAGGTTCATAGATCATTTTAGCATCATTAATTCATAATTTTAACATCAATTTCATGGTTTATGATTCTTAGTTCTCCAAGCATGTCAAACACAAAACTCAACCAAATGACCATTTATGAACGTAGAAACGACCTATATGAATATTCTAGTCATTAGATATATCTAGGGGCTTTCCTCGAAGCTTATTGAAGGTTTTGGAAATTTTCCGGCGAGGTTTGTGGCTAGCTCCGGCGACTTCAACAACAATCAACAACACCAGACACAACACCAGACCACTCTCCTCACTCTCAGGATTCTTATGGACTAATTTTGAGAAAGAATGATGCATGTTTGAAGGTTTTGAGTACTCTACAATGCTGAGCTGCTTCTACGTAGGAATCAGCTGAGTGGAGGAGGAGGCGCCGTTCGCACAGTGTCCCTGATTGGGACCAATTTTTGGTTCTTGTCGGGTTACACTTTTTGGTTCAACTTTCTCCGAATCGAATTTCGTTTACACAATTGCGATCAGACAGTCAAGCTCTATTCAATGATATAATTTTTATGTTTATTTGGTAAACTTTTTCAGACACCATATTTTTAGATGTTTGACTTTGACATGGTCAAAATTGATTTAGTTGACCTTTATTCAAAAAGGTTCTCACATTTAATTCATATAACTTATTTTCATGATTTATTTCAGTAAATCATTTCAAAGTTTACATTATAAACAAATCTTTCATTTATTCCTAATTTGGGCCTATACTCTGGTTTCCAAATTAAGATCACACAGTAGGTCACCATATTGGATTTATCTCTATAAGATTTATCCGGATTATGATATTGGATAACATATTTTATTTTGGCCCAAAGCCCAACAACAATTTATTTTTAATCAAAATAAATTTTTTTAATTGAATATTTAATTCAATAAATATTAGGGTATGTTTTGGGGCGTTACATTTTATCCCAATTTAGAGGACCAAACAAGACTACTTGTCTGAGACCAGACTTGTCTCGAGGAATAGTTTGGTCTCAATCTTTTCCACTCCAATCTCGATTTTTCCTGATTGATCTTTTGTGTCCCAATCTCTTTGCTCTCCTTTATTTTGCGTCCCCATGTTCCAGGCTAGAATGTGCGTTCTACTACTTTCTTTTATTTACTCCGTAGAAATTTAGGTCATATTATTATACGATTATGACCGTAATCACCTCTGTAAATTATATAGTCCAGCCGGTTGTACCTATCTCTAGGTACAGCCGGCTATGATTTGAAGGAGGCGCAGATTGCGAGGAGCGAGATCAACAAAGGTCGCGAGGAGCACCGAACCCCAGATCGATGTAGGTGAAGGCGATGGCGGCGGCTTTGGCTCGAATTTAGGAAGTAGTTGATATCAAAATCGTCAGCAGCTCAGCGAAGGTGATGGCGGCTAGGGTTGCAGATTGATTCTGATTTCAGACTCGTAAGCAAAGTTGGAATGAACAGTAAGTTAGTTGAAAATGAACACTGTCTTATTTAAAAATGAGTACCACTTTGTTTGAGAAATATTATAATTATATTGAACAAAAATATGTGAAAATGAGTATTACATTATTCAAAAATGAGTACTATATTATTTAAGAATGAGTACTACGTTATTTCAAATGAACACTTATGTTTGTACGAAAATAAATACTAGTATTACCTTACTTCAAAATCAGCACTATGTAACTCTACCTTACTTTTGGTACATCGGGCTACACCATTTACGGACTCAATTACCTCACATATGTATGTATACACTCCGTACTTGCAATCGTCAGACAAACTAAATACTGTATGAAAAATGTACCCATTTTCTCTGAATGGAATATCATGTCCCTCCAGATAAATAAAAAAAATAAAAAAAAAGAGTAATTTAATACCTCAAGTCCAAAAAAAAAACAGAACAAGAAAATACGGAGTAAGAATTTCCGACAAACAGTACGAGAATGCCTTCCGTATATAACCAGACTAGTGTGAATGTGAACCCCTCTCAACATTCTTTCTTTCTTCTTTTCTTTCTTTCTTTCTTTGTGTTATCATCATCACTATTCACTTATCTCTCTTTCTCCCCTCTTTCCTTCCTAAATCCCAACCCAATAAAAGCGAACACACAGAGAAATGGAAAATCAGCCCTCCCCAATTCTCAACTGGGCTTTTTTCTCCCAAGGAAAGGTTAGTTAGTTAGTTAATTACCAAGCAATATAATTCACATCAAATAATTAAAACTTTGAACTTTCAATTGGTTAATTAAAACAGTTTTGGGTGTTTCAATTTAATTGTATTTGCAGAGCATGGATGAGCTGAGGCAGTGGCTATTGCTGACAACAATGGAGCTGGAGAACACAAGAGCAAGAGCCTATGAGGATCTGAGGATGAGAGAAGCTCAGATTCTTCAGCTCAAAGAAATGCTCAACAGAGCGATGAAGGAGAAGAGAGATGCAGAGGAGAAATGTCAACGCCTCTTCTACGAGAAGCGTCTTCTTCTTCAGAGCTCTGCTTCTCATCCCCTGTCTTCCGGCGTTTCCACCGTCGACGACGAGCCCAGAAGCACCGCCGCCGCCGGGTTCTCCTCGGATTCCGACGGGAGCATGGTTTCTTCTCCGGCGGCGGTAGTGGAGTACCCGGTGGTCTTCGACAAGCCCTTGCCGGAGAAGGGTCGGTTCTTGCAGGCGGTGATGAAGGCCGGGCCGCTTCTTCAGACGCTCTTGCTCGCCGGTCCCCTGCCCCAGTGGCGCCACCCTCCTCCGCCTATGGACACGTTCCAGATTCCAACTCCGCCGGTGAACTACCACAATCCGCCGCCTGCGGCGGCGATTTTCCCTGACTCGCATCTTCATCTCCATCACCAAGATTCCCTTCTGGAAATCGCGGCGCACAATAGCAACTCCAATTGCGGGAGGATTAACAGGAAAAGAGGAATCTTTGATGAATCTGAGTATTCCATGGAGCCCAACAAGTACCAAAGGGCTGTTCTTTGACTACCCCTTTCTCTCAGTTTCTCAAGAAACCGCCATTATCATCACTTTCAAAGTTTAATTTCCGCCATTAATGCCAAGAAGAAGGTTCAAAGAAATGAAGTCATCCAAGCTTGATTGCAGTTTACGCCATTTTGTACAGAATCTTGAGAGCTTTTTGGTTTTCTAGGAATCAACCCAGAAAAAGAAAAAACTAATTTGACCACGAAAAAGATTTCTGCACTGGGTTTTTGAGCTTTAATGTGGTGGTGACTGGTGGTTTGTCGGCTTTGTAACTTTTTCTTATCAGCAAAACCATAGTTTAGACAGAGCCTTTGAATGTAGGGGGGAGTATTATGAGTGTGAGTGGAGTTTTCTTTTCCTGCCCTACCAATCAATCCAATACACCTCTGTCAATTGTTCTGAAACTGATGTAAAGAACATTCAAAAGAACGAAAGAAAAAATGGAGTAAGAGGCTTTTTGGGGTGCTGGTCAGATGGTCTTTTTACGACTATCAAAGCTCACTAAGGAATCAATCAATTAAGGGTCATCCTAGGAGTACGGTGTACCCAAATGTACACACTGACACAGACTTGATGTGTCTATGTCTGTCTGTGATAGCCTAATGTATGTTTGGGGTAAATCAAGATGTTGTACTGCTAGGTTAATTCGTCAATTAAAAGTGAATTATGTATGAATATTTCAAGTTTGACATCTATTTTGACACCATTCTTCTACTAGATATCCATACGTAAGAAGAGGATGTCAAAATCAATGTTAGATTTGAGGCACACATAACACCAAGTATTAATCATTAAAAATTAAAAAATGTGCTCAGCAATGACAATAACAGTATTAACTCAGTGCCTTGGTTGCAAGGTAAGGGAGGTTGGATGCATGAAACCCAACTCAAATGTTTAAAATATAGAGCAATTATTTTTAGATGAACAACGAAAATTACAACCAATTTAAAAATTAAATGAACTAGTTAAGCCGTTGAGTACACAGTACATTTCACTACAAGGAAACACCAAACGGACGACAGAAAATGGCGACAGCAACGGAATGTACTCGCCTACCGGTTTTCGCGATGAATTTTTAGGTCCGTCGTTAAGTATAGGAGGGAAGTAGTGTGCGCTCTATATAACGACGGAATCGTTCCGTCGTTTATTCTATCGCTAAGGTCTGTCGTTGTTTCCTTCGTTAGGTAGCGACGAATTTAAAATTCCGTCATCAGACTCATACTAACGAAAAAAATGACGGAAAAATAACCATCATTAAAGACAATTACCTACGGAAATTAAATTTTGGCGATGGAAGCTAAGTTTCCTGTCGTTATTTGAACAGTTTTTTGTAGTGTTTAATTTTAGGCATAATAAAACTGAAAAAGGATGAACCCATCCTACGACCTTTCATGCTCAATCCAGATAATTACTTGTGAAAAGATAAATAAAGTTTTAATTCCAGATAAAGTAACAAAGAGTGTGATATGTCATGCTTAGGGAAAATTCTATAGTAGACCTAAGATTCCTCATGGATCTACATATGAGTAAAATAAGTATTTTCTTATTAATTAAATAAGCATCTATTTTTTCATTTAAAAAATTATTTAAGAAGGTCTACAAAAATGGAATGCACCCAAGAAGCACTCCATGCTTAAACTAACAACTTTTTGCAAAACATAAACATTTCTCTATTATAATATTAAACTTTTGGTTGAATTTGTTTTTTTTGCAAAACATAAAAAATTCTCACCAATCATAGAACTGATAATTAGAAACTGATAATGATAGAACTCTTTTGCTTCCAAAAGGTGCACAAGTTACATGGATGTTAGGGAATTGAGGATTAGTGCGGTGGGACGAATTAAAAAATTAATCCACCAAAATAAAATAATACGGAGTATAAAGAAAAAAAAGGCAAAGATCAGATGGAAATTGGGGCAGTGGGGGCTAGTAGCTAGAGAGAGGGAGAAGAGGGCTTTCATTTTCGGGATGGGTTCCACAAATCAGGAGGAGGATCTCATTCATATACACTAACGTGATCATGTCATGTTTAGTGGCTTGGGTTTTAGCCTTTTTGGCTGATTTGATGTTTACTTACAATTATTTGTGTTACTCCCTTCATCCCTGTTTTAATTACAAAATGGAAATTACAAAGTACTCTATCTGTTCCAATTTATTTGCAAATGGAAATTACAAAGTACTCTATCCGTTCCAATTTATTTGCAATACTTCGAACGATGTACAAAGTATTATCTCTTTTAAAATCATTTTAATTTCAAATTGGTAGAGTAATAAAAAGTAAAAATTACACCATTTAAAAGTATATGAAAAGCTCTACAAAATAAGATGTGACAAGAATATTTTATTTTATCAAATGGTCAACCAAAACGAGTAAACAAACAAAACTTATCGAGAGGCCAGAATAGTAAACGTGGCATTCTTTTTGGGACGAAGGGAGTAGAATTTTATGATTTTTTAAATTATTTTATTTACTAATTGGCACATTAGTAAGAAATAAAAATTACATATTAAAAAATTAAGTTAAAGTTCTACAAAGGGGGTCAACGCGGGCTTAGCATCCAACATGCTCGTCCGTTGTAGTAGATCAATAATGTATCTCCGTTGAGACAAAAGTAGCCTTTGAGGAGAATGGACAACGTCAACGCCTAGAAAATAAGATAAAGGAGTAGGATCCTTAATAGAAAACCTTGTGGCAAGCGACTGAAGAAACCACTGGGTAGCAATCTCATCAGACTAGTAATAATAATGTCATCAACATAGACTAAAACATATATAGTAACCCCATGATGATGATAAATAAAAAGAAAGGTGTTATAGTGGGAATTGAGAAACCCATGAGGAAGTAAAAACTGACAAAGCTCGGATTAACAGGCACAGGGAGCCTGTTTAAGACCATAAATAGCCTTATATAGCTGGCACACACAATGAGGACGGTCAGGATCAACAAAACCTTGTGGCTGGGTCAAAAACGCATCTTCATATAAGAGGCCATGAAGAAAAGCATTATTAACATCCAACTACCAAAGAGACCAACCCAAGCTGAGAGTAATAGTAAGAACAAGGCAAACCGTGGATGACTTAAAAACCGGACTAAAGGTTTCCTGATAATCAATGCCATCACATTGATGAAAACCCTTAGCAACAAGATGAGCCTTGTACCTCGCAATTGAGCCATCAGAATTATGCTTAATGCAAAAAACCCACTTGGTACCAACAAGATTAGCAGTCGAAGTAGGAGGAACTGAGTCCCAAGTGTGATTACAAACCAGAGCATCAAACTCTTCCGACATAGCTTGCCACCATTAAGGGACGAGAAGAGCCCAAGAGACAATGGAGGGCTCAGACTCGGCAAAAGGTGCAAGGCAAACTGAGAGAGCACTTGAAGATATGATTTTTGGACCATGTGAGCATAAGATGAGTTATAAAATGGGAAAAAATACTTGGAGATTTTGAGCAAATTCGTGCTGATAACATGTTATAAATGGAGGAAAAATACTTAGAGATTATGAAAATAAATATGATATATTTCTGATTTCTTCTCTCTATTAATTCTTCACTCTTCTTCTTGTTTTTAATAGTAAGAACTAAGCTTTTATTTATAATGGAGTGACTTAGTATGGACACTAATACAATTCAATTTGAATACATCTACAAGTGGAAAAGATTGTTCAAAATACTGATGTACAATGAATATCTTAAGAGAAAAGTGCATCATTTATCCTCAAACTCTTCAAAAATTGCACGATTTACCCCTAAACATTAAAAAGTATACTGTTTATCCCCCAAACTCTTCCGAAATTACACGGTTTACCCATTAACATTAAAAAGTACACCAAATACCCCTAAAAAAATTCAAAGCGTTGTACACTTGCATCATATCGAGTACAGGGTACTTGGCCAGATAATATGCAAGTCATCCAAGTTGTTCCAGTATATAGAGAAGATGGTATTGCGTTATTTCTCACGGTCAATTCAATCGGAATGTGGATTACAAAGTTTCTTAGTTGAATGAGGCGTAACATACATGACTGTACCACACTATAGATCTAAGTCATACTTGACCATAAGAGATAGCTTCAAATTGTCTGCTTGTAAGAGCCTTGTTCTCACGACTGTTGGTATTCGACGATGAAGATGCCATGGTCGAAGATCCTCGATTGATGAACAACAACTACTTGGGTTGTGTTAAATAAAGAAGATAATTTTGGAGGAGAGTAATTTCAAGAATTAACAAGGGTTAGATGAATCATACTCGCAATTCTCGTGTGTGGGAGCAACGCAATCCCTATTTAGCATTTTAGGACCAGCGGTGCAACGTTTTAAATTTTTCAGTGGTATTCAGTGCACTTTTTAATATTCAAAGCTGAATCGCGCAATATTCGAAGAGTTTGGGGGTAAGTAGTGTACTTTTTAAAGTTCAGAAGTAAACCGTACAATTTCTAAAGAGTTCGAGAGTAAACGATGCACTTTTAGCCTAATTAATTAAAATATGATATTAATTGAAATAGGGTGAAGTCACTAATTTCGTAACAAAAAATAAATTATTCGGTCGTGTCGCATCTGTTGGTGGGATAATTTAGAAAGAAAAAAGAAAGTACTCCTTTCGTCCTAAAATGTTCTTCTCACTCACTTTTTATTCGGTCAAACTTTAATCACTTTCTTCACCTATTTTCATTAGGTATTTGATAAAATAATATAATATTGTCACCACTTGTTTTGTAGAACTTTTGATGTAGTTTTTAAATATATAAATTTTATTTTTTAATTTTATACCTACAATCAAATAAATTAAATTGAAAAATAAAGTCAGTCAAACCTCGTAAAATAAACCAGAAAGAACATTATAGGACGGATGGAGTAAAATAGAAGCCGCGTTTGGGCGTTCGTTATTTCAACCATTTTCGGTTCCCCCGCCACGGTGCAACCCAACAGGCATTTTGTGGACTTCTAGACAAATATATGAAAAGGAAGATCTCTTTCTACTTACTTTTTCCAATTTTTCAACACCTCCTCTTTGTTTTCACTTTCAATTTCTATATAATTTTACTTTTTCATCTCCCCAAATTTTACTCCACTAGAATAGTAGCACATGACTTGCCAATATTGTCAAGAACATTTATCAACACAAAAACTTGTGCTATATGCAATAGAATGGTCCAAACAAAACCACCAAATAGGCCTTTGTTTTTTCCCATTCTTATTCACTTTCTCGATTTTGTTGAAAGCTATTGAAAATGGATCGTGCTACCGTACCCCAACTACACTCTCACGCATGATAATACAGACAGTTTTATAGTTACATAGACAATAGTCATCTGTGAATCACAGAAGATTATGATCTGTGCAAGTATAAAATATCTGTATTATCATGCGTGGAGGCGTGACCGGTGGGTTTTTAACATTGTTCATTGAAAATATTTATTTTTTAACAATGGAGGTAAATTGAATTTAACTTAAATCATACTTATTTTAGAATTGAGAAAAATTGAATTTGAGTTAAATTTCTCTAACTCCCAAAGAAGATTAAT